AGCCACGACGCTTGCAGTAGGCGTAAACGTAAACATTGTGTAGTGTCTCAGTAGTGGTAGTAGGGGAAGGACAGAGGAGAGATAGAGGAGAGGATAGGAGAATAGAGGAGGAGAGGAAGAGAGAGAGAGAGAGAGAGAGGGAAGAGGGAAAAAGAAGCAAGGATGTAAAGATGCAAAAAAATACAGGAATAAGAAAGAAAGGAGGAAAAAAGAAAGAAAGGAGGTTTAAGGAAAAAGTAAAAAAAATAAGTAAACAATGAGAGACACTTTTAAAACACAACTTTCTGCCATTTTTTATTTACACGGGAAATTTCACCATAAAATAATCCAACACCGGAAGAAAAACACATTTAATCATTCCTTACTCTGACAACACCTTAGACAAACTAGTAACATATATTTTTTTCAATCATTCAGTCCAGTTCTCTTAGTCCTGAAGCTGCCAACTAAGTGTAGGTACATAATATTGTGTTTAGATTTTGCTGTTAGTGAGAGGAGAATTTTGCTGATGTTAGAAAAATAATTCATGCAATCTTGAGGAGGAGGGGAGGGAGGGAGGGGGAGGGGAAATAGGAGGTGGAGAAGGGGAAGGAGTAGGAAATGGGAAGAGGAGGAGGCTGAGCAGGAGGGGTAGAGAATGGGAGGAGGAGGGAGGGGAAGAGAAGGGGAGGTGGATCAATGACACACAGTGACATGTATATTGCACGTCCCCTTCCTCCCTCCCCATCCCTCTCTCAGTCACTAGCGCCTTGTGGTTCCTGGTGCCTCTCTCCCCTCCCCACACACCCCTCCCTCCTCAGTCACTAGTGCTTCTGTAAGTCTTGCTCCCCTCCATCTCCCTTACTTACCCCCACCCCCACTCACTTTCTTCTATTAGTCACTAGAGCCTTGTGATTCCTGGTTCCCTCCTCCCTCCCCTCCCTCACCTCCCCCCTCCCCCACAGTCCTTCTCTCAGTCATCAATCTTACTGTAATACATTTTATATTCACTTCCTCTTAACATTCCCTCACTCCCACACACTTCCCCTCAGACACTAGTGCTGCAGATGTCCTTGTTGCTCATCCCCTCTTTCCTCCTCTCACTTCACTTACTTACCTTCCCTCTCCCCATCCCAAGCACACAGTCCCCTCAGTCACTCGTGATAAGGGTTTATAAGTCCCTCACTTCACCCCTCACCTCCACCCCCCCCTTCACTCACACTCCCATATCTCTATCTCTCCTCAATCACTCACTTCCCTACCTATTAAACACACACACACACACACACACACACACACTCAGAGACCGGAAATAGATCCAAGTTGTACAACTCCTTGATGGTGATGAAGTTAAATTAACTTATAAATAATCCTCCAACCTACTCCTCCACCTATTTCTCTACCAACTCCTCCAACCTCCCCCTGCACCTACTCCCCCAACTTTCAAGGATTAACTCTGGTGCGATATCAAGGACGACCTCTGATGGGATAACTGGTACACTCAACTCTCTTCTCAAACCTCTTCTCCTCCTCCTCCTCCTCCTCTTCTTTCTCCTGCTCCTTACTCACGTCTCTCTTCTTCCTCTTACGTCACACCTTCCCCTCCTCTTCCTCCTCTTTGACACCCCAGTCTTCCTCCCTCCTCTCTAACAGACCCTCCTCCTCCCAAACACACCACCTCCTCCTCTCCCTCCTACTCCTCCCTTAAACCACCCAATTACGCTCTTAACTGCTTTAATTAACCGCCAATGATCAAGTTCCTTACATGAGATATGACCAGTATAACGACTCCCTGACATTGTGAGGGGTGCCAACATTTTCCCCTCGCCCCCTCTCTCTCACCCCTCTTTCACCCACTCCTCTCCCACCTTCCTCACCCTCCTCCCTTTCTCTCTCACCCTTCCTCCCTCACCCCTTTCTTGCCCTCCTTCACCCTTCTTTCACTCTCCATTTATCACCCTCACCCCTCTTTTACTCTCTCTACCACCCCCTTCCCCTCTCTCACACCCCATCTCCCCTCTCCCCCTATCACCACTCCTCCCACTCTATCTCTCATCGTCTCTTCTCTACAACCCTCTCTACATACCTTCCCTCTCCTATTCGACTGGGTGTCGAATAGGCCCCAATCCTATCAGGCCCCGAGATGACCTAATTACTAGAATTGAGAGAGAGAGAGAGAGAGGAGGAGAGAGAGAGAGAGAGAGAGAGCCAGGTATTGCAGGAGTGAGGTGGCAGGTGAAGCCCAGGATGCACCTCCTCATGTTACCTGTAATCACCAACACTAATTTTTTCACCCAGAAAGACACCATGACCAAAGGTGCCACCCTCCACAATACAGGTGCCACCCTCCACTATACAGGTGCCACCCTCCACTATACAGGTACCACCCTCCACTATACAGGTACCACCCTCCACTATACAGGTGCCACCCTCCACTATACAGGTGCCACCCTCCACTATACAGGTGCCACCCTTCACTATACAGGTACCACCCTCCACTATACAGGTGCCACCCTCCACTATACAGGTACCACCCTTCACTATACAGGTGCCACCCTTCACTATACAGGTACCACCCTCCACTATACAGGTGCCACCCTCCACTATACAGGTACCACCCTCCACTATACAGGTACCACCCTCCACTATACAGGTGCCACCTCCACTAGACAAGTGCCACCCTCCATATACAGGTGCCACCCTCCATTATACAGGTGCCACCCTCCATTATACAGTACCACCTCCACTATACAGGTGCCACCCTCCACTAGACAAGTGCCACCCTCCACTACAGGTACCACCCTCCATTATACAGGTGCCACCCTCCACTATACAGGTACCACCTCCACTATACAGGTACCACCCTTCACTATACAGGTACCACCTCCCACTATACAGGTGCCACCCTCCACTATACAGGTACCATCCTCCACTATACAGGTGCCACCCTCCACTATACAGGTGCCACCCTCCACTATACAGGTGCCACCCTCCACTATACAGGTACCACCTCCACTATACAGGTGCCACCCTCCACTATACAGGTGCCACCCTCCACTATACAGGTACCACCCTCCATATACAGGTGCCACCCTCCACTATACAGGTGCCACCCTCCACTATACAGTACCACCCTCACTATACAGGTGCCACCCTCCACTATACAGGTACCACCCTCCCCACTATACAGGTGCCACCCTCCACTATACAGGTACCACCCTCCACTATACAGGTGCCACCCTCCACTATACAGGTACACCCTCCACTATACAGGTACCACCTCCACTATACAGGTACCCTCCACTATACAGGTGCCACCCTCCACTATACAGGTACCACCCTCCACTATACAGGTGCCACCTCCCACTATACAGGTGCCACCCTCCACTATACAGGTACCACCCTCCACTATAAGGTGCCACCCTCCACTATACAGGTACCACCCTCCACTATACAGGTGCCACCTCCATACAGGTACCACCCTCCACTACAGGTGCCACCCTCCACTATACAGGTGCCACCCTCCACTATACAGGTACCACCCTCCACTATACAGGTGCCACCCTCCACTATACAGGTACCACCCTCCACTATACAGGCCACCCTCCTATACAGGTGCCACCTCCACTATACAGGTACCATCCACTATACAGGTGCCACCTCCACTATACAGGTGCCACCTCCACTATAGGCCACCTCCACTATACAGGTGCCACCTCCACTATACAGGTGCCACCTCCACTATACAGGTACCACCTCTCCACTATACAGGTGCCACCTCCACTATACAGGTACCACCCTCCACCAGGTGCCACCTTCACATACAGGTACCACCCTCCACTATACAGGTGCCACCCTCCACTATACAGGTACCACCTCCACTATACAGGTACCATCCTCCACTATACAGGTGCCACCTCCACACAGTGTAGGCCTCCACTATACAGGTGCCACCTCCACTATACAGGTACCACCCTCCACTATACAGGTACCACCTCCACTATACAGGTGCCACCCTCCACTATACAGGTACCACCTCCACTATACAGGTGCCACCTCCACTATACAGGTGCCACCCTCCATTATACAGGTACCACCCTCCACTATACAGGTGCCACCCTCCACTATACAGGTGCCACCCTCCACTATACAGGTACCACCCTCCAGGACTACAGGTGCCACCTCCACTATACAGGTGCCACCTCCACTATACAGGTTTTCCGGTGCCACCATCCATACAGGTGCCACCCTCCATTATACAGGTGCCACCCTCCACTACAGGTGTTACAGTACAGGTGTTATCATCACTATCATCATCAAGTGGTCGTCTCAAACGTCATCATTATCTTCCTTCTCATCTGTGCTGACGGGGGACTCCCTTTGTCACCGCCATCATAGATAACAGCCCACCACGTAATTACTAATATATTATTTAAGCGTGTTACGTGGCTTACACCGCTCAGAGGGGATAGTAGGTGGATAGAGGGTGGATAGGAGGGGTAGTGGGTGGATAGGAGGGGGGTAGGAGAAACGAAGGAGGAGGCAAAGGACAGATAACGAAGAAGGTAGAAAGAGAGGATATGAAGGGGCCTTTGTTATGTTATGTTATTTAAGATTAGAACAAGTAACACAGGTAACGTAACAGAATGCAGGTAACAACTAATAAAGAAAAAAACACAAGTAACGCATACAACAAAGGTACAGTAACACGTAACAGAAGGAACACTAATAACAAAGGTGACAGTAGCAGTAATTGTAAAAGGTAACATTTGTAATCTATCTACCACTGAAAATAAGTTAACATATTAATACAATAATTACAGGTAACAGAAGGACCATAAGTAACAAGTATAAATTATAACATGATAATCACTAGTAACAAAGACAACACAACGGTGATATCGTAACATTGATAACAAATAATAACAAAAAAGGGTAATTAGTAGCACATAAAAGTAACACAGGTAACATAAAAGTAACACAAGTAACACAATAGTAACAGTGGTAACATAAGTACTCACGTCCATGTCCTTGTGCGTGGTGGTGAGGGGCAGGGCCAGGTGGACGGGCGGGACGGGCGTGGTCGGGGCCGACCCGCCCTGGGGCCACGCCGACGATATTTTGACGCCTCCACACCACGCTGAAACAACAGCAGTGAGAGCAGTGATGTTGACGGTGTAATGGAGGGTCCTTATACACCTGCTAACTCATTATAGATAGATAGATAGATAGATAAACACTCCTATATATCACACACACACACACACACACACACACACACACACACACACACACACACACACACCACCCACACACACACCAGGAGAGACATCACTGACCAGCGCGCGTTGAGGTGTTCGTTGGCCGCGATAAATCCCAACAGGCGTGGACCGACTTTCGTGAAACTTCAAGAGAGGACATTGTTCCTGGTGAGAAGCTCGTAGGAGGCGTGGCAGAAGGGGAGTTCCGATTTTATTTATTTATTTATTTATTTTTTACTTGGGATAAGAGGGTGTAAGGCGTATTGTGGTTTTCGACGTAATTGTGTATTCGACTTAACGCATATTCTACTTAACATATATTCAACTTAACACGTATTAACTTAGCATTAACCACAAAACCATTCTTTTTAACCACAAACTTGCTATACCATAACTTTTTAACCACTAAATTCCTATACCATATGTCATAACCTTAACCAATATACCATAAACTTTTAACCACTCTGTATAGTGTATCATTAACCAACATTAACCGATCCATTCATTAGGTGCAGTAACCCTCACAAGGCGACAGACAGACACTCAGTAACTCAGGGTGATGATAAAAGGCTTGGTAGTTGAGGACGATAGTGGTGGTGGTGCTGGTAGAGTCGTTAGTCATGTTTTTGTTGGTCTAATTGCCTTGCCTGGTGGTGGTGATGGTTGCAGTTGTTGGTTAGTGGTGTTGTGGGTGTTGGTTGGTGATAGTTGGGGATGATGGTGGTTGTTGTTGGGGTTGGTGGTAGTTGTTGAGGATGGTGGTGATAGTTGTAGGTGGTGGTGATAGTTGTAGGTGGTGGTGATAGTTGTAGGTGGTGGTGATAGTTGTAGGTGGTGGTAATAGTTGTAGGTGGTGGTGATAGTTGTAGGTGGTGGTGATAGTCGTAACAAGTCATATTATAATGCCCAGTGTTACTACGTTCGTGCAGGAGGAGGGTGGCGAGCGGTCGTTCGTCTGGCGTAAAGTACCATTCACAGTGCCATGGTGGTGGGGGTGGAGGCAGAGAGGAAATACCAGGCACTGCCCCCCCCACCCCCTCTCTCTCTCTTCTCTTTGTTTCTTTCTCTCTCCCTCTTTTCCATCCCTCTTCCCTTCTCTTTGTCGTTTCTCACTCTCCCCTCTCTTCCACCCACCTCCCTCTTCTCTCCTTCCTTTCTTTTCTCTTATTTCCAGTCTCTTTGTCTTCTTTATCTCCATTCTCCTTCATCCATCTTTCCCTTCTCCCATCTATCATTCCATAACCCCTCTTCCACAATTCCCTCCTGTTCCTCTCCTCCTCCTTCTCACCCATTAATCTTTCCATTCTTTCTCCTACACCCTAAGAGAGAGAGAGAGAGAGGTCTTATGAAGTTGTTATAAATTACAGGTGTTAAGGCGTCAATCAACAGGTGTTAGTAAGTGACATCAAATTATTTTTATGCGTATCGTATGACCCTTACTGTAGTCTCCTCTTCTTTCTTCTTCTTCTTCTTTCTTCTTCTTTCTCCTCCCTCTCCTCCTGGTGACCAACAGGTGGTCCCAACAGCGTGTCGTATTCGTCATTCAAGCCTAAAGTCCTCTTGTGACGTCACCATAAGCATTTTGTTATTCCTTTTCTTCCATTATTACTCTCTCTCTCTCTCTCTCTCTCTCTCTCTCTCTCTCTCTCTCTCTCTCTCTCTCTCTCTCATCTCCTCTTCCTTCTTCTCCCTCCCTCCCTTCCCCACCCACCCCTTCGCCCTCTCTCCAGTCACCATCTCCCTCACCTACTTTACCTTCTCCTCTCCTTCCTACCTACCCACCCCCTCCTTTCACCCTCTCCCCTCTACCACCACTTTCCTCTCCCTACCACCACTCCCTGTTTCATCCTCCCTTCAACCCCACACCCTCCATTCCATCCTCTCCCCCACATCCCTCCTCCTCGTCTCTTCCCCATGACTGCCTCCTCCAGGTCGACGCTCCTCCGGGAATGTGCGACAACGACAACAATTTTTGGATAATTGTTCCTGCATTGACTACACCTCCCTCCCCCCTCCTCCTACCTCCTCTATTTCGCCTCTTGCTTTGTGTCCCTCTCTCTCTCTCTCTCTCTCCCTCAATCCTGTCTCTTATTTGCTATCTCTTTGTTGACCAGTTTCTCATTTACTCCTTCCTCCTCCTTTCTTTCATCTCCTGTACTCCGCCATCTCTCATCCCCTCTCCTCCTCTTCCTACTTCCATCTATTTTGCCCTTTCTCCTCTCCTCCTCCTCCTCCTCCTCCTCCTCCTACTACTACTACACACACACACACACACACACACACACACACACACACAGGCGGCTACAAGTGATGCTGCCTTAGACGAGTCCAACAGGTGATATGAGGCAAGATAAGACCCCCACCCCCTTCCCTCACCTGTTCATATTTACCTGCCCTGTGTACCATTATCACCCACCTGCCAATTACACACCACACTTAAGACAACTTCTATATGCACAGTGATTAGTCCAGCGCTAGTCCCCCCTACCCCCCTCCACTGGGACTTGTTGAGCTTTGGACTTTTGAAAATTAAGACTCTTTTTTTGGGGGTCTTTGGGGCCCTGGACTTTTCGATTCCTTTGGACTTTTTGATTACTTTAGACTTTTCGGACCTTTTCAGGGCCAGGATGATGCCGGTCTTGGGACGTTTCGACTCTTTGACCTTTGAGGTTCAATATATTACGATTCTTTGGGACCTTTCTGGGCCCCTGAACTTGACTTGTTTCCCGACGGACTTTTTTTTCCTTTCTGAATGGACAACTTGTTAAAGCCTGGAAGCTTCCCCACCCTGAAACGTCCAGTTGGAAACATCGCCCATTCAATTTATTGGCAACGGCGTGAGAGAGAGAGAGGGGGTCGTCTCTCTCTCTCTCTCTTATCTATCTATCTATCTATCTATCTATCTATCTATCTATCTATCTATCTATCGATCTATCCATATGAGTGCTTATGTGTGTGTGTGTGTGTGTGTGTGTGTGTGTGTGTGAGAGAGAGAGAGAGAGAGAGAGAGAGAGAGAGAGAGAGAGAGAATAGGCGAATTAGCACTTTCTTGGGACACTAAATTAGATTCCCACCACCTGGAGTTTACCTGAGATGGTAGGGGGCAGGTGGGGGAGGGAGGAGGAAAGTAAAGGACGAGTGGAGGTGTTGGGGGTGGGAGGAGCTTGTCTCACCCCTCACCCTTCTCCCCTCTCCCAAGCTGCTGAACCAAGGTGTTAATATCGTGTGCATTATCACCCAGTCTGATGTGTGTTTAGGGTACGTTGGCCTTCTTCACCCCAATATTTCTCTCCCCTTCTCCCCATCAACCCTACTATCCTCTCCCCTCTCTCCCCATCGACCCTCTCCCCTTTTCCCCATCTCCACGTCGACCTTACCTCCTCCCCATCAACCCTACTATCCTCCTCTCTCCCCATCGACCCTCTCCTTTTCCCCATCTCCGTCGACCTTACCTCCTCCCCATCGACCCTCTTCTCTCTTCCAATAACCCTCTCCCCTTCTCCCTATGGACCCTCTCCTCCCCATCTCCAACGACCCTCCCTCTCCTCCCCATCTCCCCAACGACCCTCTCCTCTCCTCCCCATCTCCCCAACGACCCTCTCCTCTCCTCACCCCCAACAACTTTCCATCCCTCTTCCCTCCTCCTCCTCTTCCTCCACTACAAGACCTTAAAATAGTCTCAGTGTTTAACAAATTCTCAAAACAATAATTACACTACTAATAATATTGGACGGTTTCCAGCCAATGTTTGCTATTTGTAGATTTTGGGGTCAGATTTATCCAGATTTGGGATTTTATTTACTTTTCTTCAGATTTTAAGGTATTCGTATTTTTTCTTCCGATTTTTATGCCACTACTAGAGTACAAATCATTGAAGCGTACACTGATACTCGAGTCCGTAAGAGATGAGTACTTCCTCACATCCTTAACCCCTTGAGTACAATGATTTAACACCTCGAGTACGATGATTTTAACCCCTCGAGGTTATGTTAGGCAACTAGATAATAGCACAGGAATATAAGGTTAGGTTATGGGACTTTGGTTAAGTTAGGTTAGGTTAGGTTAAATTAGGTTAGATTAAGTTAGGTTAGATTAAGTTAGGTTCCTAGGTTTTGTTAGGTTAGGTGAGGGAGGGAGGTAGTGAAAAGGGAGGAAGAGACTGAGGAGAGGGAGGAAGAGAGTGAGGAGAGTGAAGGAGGAGGTGGACAAGGCTGGCAGACAAGCAAGCAGGTAGTGCGGCAGGCCAGGCAGCGGCAGAAGCTGAGAGGAGATGAGGGACGAGTCAGGAGGGAGGGGCTGTGTGTTGCCGGCCATCACCATGACAACGGCCCTCCTATCCCCTCCCTCCCTCTTTCTCTCACTTTCCTCTCTCCTCCCTCCCCGCCACGTGCTCCTCCACCTGTTGAGTTCTCGTTCGTCCTCTCCGTACTCCTTCACACACACACACACACACACACACACACACACACACACACACACACACACACACAAACAGATGTTGAGTACCTCTTCAAAAACGTCCACTACCTCCTCCTCCTTTTCTCCTGCTGTTGTCTGGTGGTGAGCGGCAACCCAAGCTGTGATGGTGGTGATAGTAGTCAGTTATGGTGCTGTAGTGATGGTGACGTTATGGATGATAGTGGAGATGGTGATGAAGAGGATTGTGGTGACCCAGATAGTGAAATGGTGACAATACTGTGTTTATAGAAACAACTGGTATGATAGTGACTTCTCTCTCTCTCTCTATGTTGCACCCAGGTCCTGATTACGTAATATACTGATGATGTTTCACCTAGTTACATATTACCTTTGAACACCTGTGTACTTTCATATCTACCGCGTTTGTAATGTACTGTGTTGTTTGTCGAGTCATTTTGTT